GTTGATTTGTGAAGATCTCAAATTAAACTAATTTTTCACTTCCTCGTTCCTGATTTGCTCATCAGCCGGTGATCAATGCTCACATTGATCAAAGCCTAGTGATGTCATGAGTTTTAACAACTTCAGGAAATAGAAGGAAAAAGTGTATTCTTATTGAATTTTGAAGTTTATCAACTCCTAAGGCTGCTTCCAGCTTGGCCAGGTATATGAAAACATCAACCATAAACTCATATGATTTTATGGTGGAGTTTTGGGAGAATGGAGCCACTATGATGCTTCGGGCAGATGTCTAGGAGTAGAATTGTTGAGTTACAGATTTCCATCACATGTGAAGTCCTTTTGTGGTTTTCCTTCATCCCCTGCTTGTATTCGTATGCTTTTTGATGTTGCTGTGTGGTTCTGAAACCTCCTACGATATACATTTTAACACAAATGGTGTTTTTCTTTTCATGCTTTCCTTCATTTGCTAGGAGTAGCTTGATGGGCTCTCCATAGTTTCACTTTCCCTTCTCTTGTCTATTCCTGATTTCCCCCTTTTGGATTAAGTTCCGACTATTTGTGTGAGCTGGTGGTTCAAATTTTGGTTTTACACAACTTGGTGTTTCCTCTGTTTGTACTTGTTGTGCTAACTATGAATCCATGGTTTCAAATTTCCATGTATATCTTGCATCTGGCCTTTTTATGCGAAGTTGAACAATCTATCTATTGATTTATATGCCATCCTTGTTTGGCTATTTGGCAAGATATGTTTTAGTGCATAGCTAGTAAACAGTGTGAATTTTGTTCTTTTATAGGATTGTTTCTTTTGTTTCAGTTGGTTGTGGCTAAATATTCTGGTACTTCTGTGATGATACTGGCATTACGATTCTATTTTTCTTTTGTTTTATTATTGTCAAAAGTTCTATACACGGCCTACATTCTTCCAACTTTTCTCCCTTGTTTCCTAGTATTCTATTCCATATACTTCTAAATGGTGCACGTGCATGTTTGCATTTGCCTTCATTTGTTATGCGTCTTCTGCAGCTCACTTTTTGTTAATTTTCTAAAATGACAATCAGGGAGCACCACCCTGCACGCATTACGCGCAACGTGGGGCGTGCAAGTTTGGGGCCGCATGCAAATTTGATCATCCAATGGGAACCCTAAGTTACAGTCCATCTGCATCTTCCCTTGCTGACATGCCTGTGGCTCCCTACCCTGTGGGATCTTCAGTTGGTACTTTAGCCCCATCATCCTCATCATCTGAGTTGCGGCAAGAACTTATTTCTAGTTCAAGCAGAGACTTCAGTTCCACTAGAATATCGTCATCAGTGAGTACAACTAGCGGCTCAGTTGGTTCAATTTTTTCAAAGAGTGGATCAGTCCCTCAGTCGAGTGTGCAACATTCTGGTCAGAGTTCTGCCCTGTCAACTGGTGGCAGCAGCAGTAGCTCAGAGGTTCACACTTCAAGCTAAAGAAAAAAAAGAAGGCAACTCATGATTTGTCTTTTTGGTCAACTTCATGAACCAGAACATATTTTTTGTGCAGTTCTCAAATAGGAGGCTCATTTCTCTGTTATCTTGATTCAGAGATTTAGGTCTTGCACACAGCAGTTAGGTCATTTGTGTCCATATAATCTTATATGGCCATCCTTTTTACTTGAATAAGCTATTGCCAACATTGGAAAGTTTTAAACCCATAGTGCCTTCAAACCACTTTGAAATAACCACGAAAGAACTCAGCAGCACCTTTAGGAAAATCTATGTCTACACCTCAGATTGTTGTGTTTATTTATGGTTAGATCTTTTATGGAATGAAAAAGATCAGCCAACAACATCCATCCTTTTACATCAACTGTGCCCTTTAGAGAGATTTTCTATATTTTGGGAACAAGCTTTCAGTTGAAGTTAGACAGGAGGTGATCTTTTTCCCTCACTTTTTTGTTTGGGGTTTGTTGTGAAAAAGGGAAGTCATTAAAGAGACTTAAAGAAGGCATCATGATGCCATTTTTATATGGAATTAGATATATAGTTATGTTGTGACAATTCAAATGCTTGACATGGTTACTGATAAATTTACAAATATATGAAGAATCATCTTGTGTAATAATTTTCTCTTTATTTTTAATTGATTTAGTTCATGAATGTAGTTGATCCTTGATGTGATGATGCACTAAATTTTACTGCTGTAGCAAATGATGTAGGTGACGGGGGTCTGGCGGGTTCGACCAAGTGGTAAATTTATCCGGAGGCACCATTTCTCAATTTTGTGTGATCTGATCTGATCTGATCTTCCTTCTTGCAGAACTCCTTACTGGTTTCAGGCTAAAAAGGCCCAGACTTCAAACTATTATGTTGGATGGTTGCCAGTCTTGGGTAGTTTACTCAAATACTAGATGAATTTCTTTTCTTTTCCTTTTCTTTTTTGTACTGGTCCAGTTTTACTTATACTACCCATTAGTAATATTCATTCTGTATAAGCCTTTGAGATAAGGTGGGAGTTGGGAAGATATGGTCAAATGCAAAATCTCACCATGGAAAAGTTCAAGCTTTTATTTTTATTATTTATTTTTTTTTTTGAAAAAAATGGGTAAAAAAGAAGAGGCTAAACAATCAAAACCAGAAGCATTAATCAATGACCAAAAAGTGCAATGAAAAGAAAATTGGCAAGCGCCAATGATGATACCCATGAATAAGGAACTATGTATTTGCATGCGCTTTATTTAATTTTGAAGGTCTCATATCATAGTCAACGTTAAATAACCAAGTTCAGCTTAGTTTTGCTTTTCAAAAATTAAATCAATAGAAATAGTATTAATATAGTACTTATATTATATTCTTGGTTATACTCCCATCTTCATTTCTTTTCATATAAATACATACATGTATGTAGTGAGAGAGAGAGAGAGAGAGAGAGAGAGAGAGAGAGGTAGCAAATGCCATGATTCATGCGGTCAATGTCGTGATTTTGATGGGTGGGTCATGAATTTTCTGATCATATATATATATGAATATTTGGTTAAAGGAGCTTTCCGACAAGACAACCTCCATTTTCATCTTTTAGGACCAGATCTCTTGCTTCCAACACTTTTTAAGTGTACTTACACTGCAAATAAAAGGCAAAAACTAAATCAAACAAAAAAAAAAAAAACAGAAATTACTCCCAACAATAATTCCCAAACCTTCATCCACACAAAACATAAACACAGTTTACTAGTTCCAAATTTCTTCTCTCAAAACAGCGGATAACCAGATTCCATTACTTCCCCAAATGGACCCACCGGCAATGATGGGGAAGAACACGACTTTGAAGAACAAGAAGAAGAAGAAGCAGCTTGAACTTGCGGCAGCATTACCCCATTTCCAAAATTATCCATGGCGGCCGGGTAGAAATTATTCCCAATGCACCCATCTAAAGCGACGTCGTTGACGATGGTCGTCGATACTTGAGTACCAGAATAATAACTCAACTCCCACGGCTGCTGCTGCTGCTGATGATCATCATCTCTCCAGAAACCACCCTGCATGTTGACGACTTCCTCACCAAACCAAGCACTGAAATCATCATTGTTATTAGATATTCCCATTGTTGACATGCTTGTGACATCTACAGGATCAAATACTGAAGAATAGCTACGATCATCACAATGTGAATATTGATTTATATGAATATCAGTAGAACTTTTATGGTTCTGCGAGCTTGAAGGAGGTTTAAGACAGTTTCCGGGCACAACACAGTCCAGGTAACCAGAGTTAGAATCATCTGGAGAGAAAAAGAAATTACTAGAACAATCATCAACTGATGATGACAATATATTTGAGTTATGATCATGATCACGATCACGATCACGATCATCACCATGCAATATAGTACCCTTATTAAGCTGATCAGGTGAAGTACTGTTCTGATTTATAACGGGTTTTTTGGCAGGAGGATTGGTTAGAAAATTTGAATTAGCAGGGGGAGGGAAAATCAGTGTTTGATGATGATCAACCAAATTAGGAGAAAGAAGAGAATGGAAACCGGTATTATGAGTATAAACAAAGTTGGTCCTTGCTTGAACGCCTTTCATGGAAAGTGCAGCTCTATCATAAGCAAGAGCCGCTTCTTGAGCTGTATCAAACGTGCCAAGCCAGTGTCTTTCTTTCGTCGTCGGGTCTCTAATCTCCGCCGCGTATCGACCCCATGGCCGCCGTCTGACGCCGAGAAACCTTCCCGGCTCACCTTGTTTCCTTCGTCCTCGTCTCTCCTGAGACGGAGATGTGGTAGTACTGGTAGTGGTAGCAGTGGTGCGTTGGATTAGGGCGAAACTACCCATTTGAGGTGAAGGTAATTCGAATGGTTTGAAAGGTTTATCAGAGGGTTTTGAAGCAGCCATGGTATGAATGAGGAGAATGTTTGATGGAGGAAGGGGGGTTTTGGGTGATATGAAATTATGGGAATGTGAGGCTTATAAAGATGGGGGAAATAGAGAAAAAGACAAGGAAGACATATTTTTGTTGATGTCATTATTTTCAACACCATACTACCTTTTTCTTATAATATTTTAATTATTTCTAAGGTACAATTTCAAATCCAAAATCATTTATCATATAGCTATATAATTAGCTATATCATATATAATTATTACTCCACTCTATTCTAATTAACAACCATTCACACATATATACATATATATATATATATACATACATACATATATATGTATACACACAAACACATAGTTTTACCAGCCTTGACTCCATTCTACCTTTTAGTTCTTTTTTTTTTCCCCCCGCCCTTAAAACAAGATCTTAAATGATGAACTAAATGATAAAACTGCAAAAAAAAAAAAGCGTAGTCTTATATATATATATATATATATATATATTTGCTATAAAATTACATTAATATTATAAAACCATATTATTAGTTATGTTTGACTCATGATTTTCATATTAGTTAATAAATATTTGAATAAATAGATATTACGTTTATTTATTTTTTTTTATAAAAGATTGTATGTTTGTATTAAGTATTTTTATTATATTGTAATTAATATATATATATATTACGTAATTAATTAAAATATATATGAATTTTAATTTTTTTTTCTAAAAGGCATAAAGTTTAACATGATCTAAGATCTTAGCTTAAAAGAATATTTGAACTCATCCGTTAGAGAACTAAAACATTTTTTAGGAAAATTTTTAATAGTTTAGGCACAAATGAAATAAGAAAATATTTAATTAAGAAAGTTAATTAAGAAAATGAAACCTCATTAACATATAATTAACATTTTGCTTATAAATACCCTAGTTATGATCACTATATATTATTGTTAATGATGTAAATATTACATCATGTTAATGCAAGCTACAAGGAAAATTAAACTACTAATTAAATTATATAACAAAATTCGATATTAAAAGCAATCAAGTCAGGTGTAATCCGGGTTAATTACTTAGCCTATATATATATATATATTATATGTATGTATAGGTAGTACTAGCCAGGGGATCTATCTAAAAATTGACACTCAATAGCTTGTTGGGCTACGAACGTAATTACAATTATAATCTTAATGTTAAATTTTTATTAATAAAAAAATTGTAATTATAGGAATGTCAAAATCATAAGAATTATATAATTAATAAAAATTAATTAACCATGATTAGAGTGGTTTATGGTGGGATTATTGTTTTGGACATATAAAACAACAAAATTTGGAAAACACACCTTGAAATTCTCAAGATAATTAACTTTAATTAATTATATATTACTAAATTTATCATTGACTAATTTCATCACCACCTTGAATTATATAATATTTATAGTTTCTTAGGGTTAGGTAATTACTAAAATTAATTTTTTTTTTCTTGGGTCTACCAAAAAATTTACGATAAGTAATTTTTCAGTACTATATTGAAATTAGGTTACAAATATTTTTAATATGAATTTATTTATTTTTATCTGAATTAATTAAAAATATTACACCAAAAATAATGTAATTAATATTATGCACATGGGGAGACTCCGTATTTTATGTCGATTAAAAAAAAAAAAATCAATTGGGAGTTCTTGTCTTCTTCATGTATTTTTCAATGGAGCAGTTAAGAGATATATATATATATATATATATATATGAATTTCTACATATGAATTACCAAAGATAATTAAGGCTTCCTTTTGTAATTAACCTGCAAATATTCGAGCATTAAAGTACAACAACAATCGAGAGGGTTTCCCTTCATAGTCACCCATAAAGTCAAGGTTATTTTGGCTGTGTGTTGCTTGTCAGTTTATAAGACTTGATTTATTTATACATACATACATACATACACTGGATATCCTACTGTGGGTGTTTATATATGAATGTGTATTTACGTATGTAATTTCTAGTCATGAGAGAAAATTATACATATATCATACCTTAGGCAAACCCATTCTAGAGGTTGACTTGAAAATTATTATATTATAAAATAAACTTTTGAATAGAATTCAATCATTTATTTCAAATTTTTCTAAAAATTTTTAATTTATTTAAAAAATAACCCGAGTAAATTATTAATTTAATTGAAAGGATGGATGATTTGATGATATAAACATGAACGTAAATAAAATTTATAAAGTTTAAAATGGTGGTCTCTTCTTAATAGTAGGTGAGATACAAAGATGTTTTACAAGAATGTAAAAATAGGATTTGAAAGATAATTTAGAGAAAAGAAAAGGTTCAAGAAAAAGTTATGGTGTGGGACATTGCATATTTTTCGAGTTCCTTGCAAAACTGCCTTTTTAGTAATATATATATATATATATGTGTGTATATATGAAAATGGAGGAGACATGGATAGGCTGTATTTGATCTCCAAAAGTAAAGAAGAAAAGGCTAAGTCAAAAGGGCAATGAAAACAAGTTGGATTAAATTAGGAGTTCCTTCAAGGGAAGTATATTAAGTATATAATATGTATATATATATATATATATATACATACATATGTAATGCTATTTGGTTAACATCACATGCCTAAACTGCATTGGAAATGACAAGAAAGCAATGACTAATACTCAAATGGGTCAATCTCTTTTATTTTATTTTTTGCTTGTAATTTGTTTTGTTTTTTTTCCATTTCTCATTTGTACTAATGCTTGGCATGTGCTCATTATTATGCTCTATTCTAATTAATCATGCACCTAACAAATTTATAAATACTAAATTTCAGCTATAATTTTAGTATCATCAATTATAATTAATTACTTAACACAATAAAATTAAAATTTAGATAAGTTTAGTGTAAAGTGGTATAATCTATGTATACATATATATATTTTATGTGTGTAATGATAACAAGAACATATCAAAGTTTATGTCATGATATTTATTATAAATAACGATCCAATTTGATTATATCATGTTTCTAACCTCAATTTATGTAGCATTTATATTAATATTTTGACATACCATAAGATAACTAAATCAATAGCATAAATAAACACATTGTTTGATCCAAGCGTATAGTATTCTATGTTTTGATAATTTATTACGATCAGAATAAAAAATACTAAATACATCTGTTAATAAAAAAAATATAATCGAAATCATAATTAATTATTCAACTTAATGATTAGTTTTAGGAAGTAAAAAAGTGCATTTTAATTTAATTATTTGTATTTTGTTAAAAAAATATTATAGAGAAGTAAAAAAAAAAAAAAAAAACTAAATGTATTAGGTCAATATAAAAAATGGGTCTTTAAATTTGTCTTAGAAAATAAATTTAGTATAATTTATTTCATTAATTAACAAATTAATATTTTTTAAAAAAAGAGAGATTAAAAATTGTATAACTTAATTAATTGTTTTTAAAATTCTTTAGGAATTAAATGAATTTATTAGAAATATATGACCACCCTTGACTACTCCACTATGATACTTTTTGTAGGACATGAATAAGCTCTACACGTCCAACCCTCTCTTGAAAGAGGACAAGTACTTGCCCACAAACCACATGCTTTTCAATATAATACACACACACACACACACCCATGTATATATATATATGTATACATACGCTCAATCCTTATGCATACAGAAACCCAATTAAAAGAAGAACAAAAACAAATGAAGAGGTGGAAGTAATTCAAACTTGCTAAATAGAATCTTCCTTATTCCACGTAACCTGTCAGAGAACAAGAAGGACTTTAAGCTAATTAAAGGATTAAGGAAGCAAACCATAATACTTCAAAAATATAATCTTCTTTAACATGTTTTTACTGTTATAATTATTGTATTTTTATCTTATATTCAATCGAAACCCATATACAATTTTGCTTTTTAGAGGGATATATACATACATATATTTCTATTCTAATGAAAAAAAAAAAAAAAAATACGACCCATTTGAAATATATATATATATATATATATATTTTGGGAGGGTGTAGGGGCCTCTTGAAGTTTTGTTGTGGGACTTTTGTTAATTTTGGTGGGAATATGAGAATTTTACACATTCTCCAAGACCACACAAACACACTACGTTCACTTTATTATTATTATTATTATTATTATTTTGGTCATCCGGAATTTAGGGAAAAAGATTACATCTCTTTCTTTCTTGTAGAATTTGGACTTTGACGAACCAGAACAGGAGATTGTGGGAGAGATAACAGTGGCCAATGCTCATCACACATATACAACTCATATTTCATAATACATAATACATATTTATATATATATACATACATATAACACGATACATCTAATATATATATATATATATATATAAAACTATACTTTATTTACATTAAATTTAGTATCATAAAAAAATTGTCCCATCTTGCTGTGTTGATTTTGCCCCCCTTCCCCCCTCCTTCCCTTTTTTTGGGTCTTTTCAAGTCAAGTAGTCAAAAACATGACTTGTGGCCACCCACTTAGCAACCACTAATATATATATATATATATATATATGTGTGTGTGTGTGTGTTTGTATGTATGTATGTAGAGATTAATTAGCATGTAACGTAAAGTTTTACTATATCTAACTGTTATGTACTCGTCATTACACTATTTCGTTCTTATTAATAAAATTATCAATAAAATTTCATTAAATGATTAGTTCAAATACAATATTATTATCTTAAAATAATTAAAACGTTAGAATAAAATTTCTATTTATGATTTTTTTAATTATTTAGATTATATGCGTTTTGTTCTTTGTTTTTTTTTTTTCTTGATTTTTTAAAAAAGAATTTATGTCGCTCAATGATGATATAATTGGATGTTATGATTAAATTTTATCTATGATATTATAAAGAGATTTATGCATGAATATTAAGAAATATCTGAAGAAAAAAATAATATAACTTACCATAGTTTTTTACTATATTTTATGCGCGTATATATATATATATATTGTGACAATAATTAATTTAAAATTTATTGATATAACACACACACACACACACACTTTTATATTATAATATAGTAGCTGATCGCACCCACTGATATAGGGGTGACTATTACAGAAGCATGGTGCGTCCATGTTATGTAGGTGATTTCTGCAATGATTGGTTTCTTAGATGAATCTATTATAGTAGACCTATATATATGTGTGTGTGTGTATATGTAGGTATATGGTGTAAGTAGTTGTAATTAAGTAGTGTTTACGTGCCTAATTACTTTAAATTGCTATTTAGTTTTCGGTATACTATATGTAGTATATATGTTTGCCTCTTTGACTTTTGAAAATAGTGAAAAGGAGCTCATAATTAATTATTATTATTATTTTTTTGTGACTATGAGTTCATAGATTTTTTTAAATAGTGCATTAAAATTTTACCATGTAACAAAGAGTTATAAGTTGAACAATTAATTATAAACTTTTTGTGGTGTGTAGTTAAAAGATAAATTACTAATGGTAATTTTTTTTTTTTTTTTTTTTGTTTAGAGACCGACTAATAATTGTTAAAAGTATTTTTACCAACTTTTTACAGGTACTGTAGATTCAGCATTCTCAGGAAGTTGATGGTGTTTGTTTCAATTAATCTCATCGTCTTCACGCCTGCAATGATTAATTTCTACTACGAAGACGAATTTGTAATTATTATTTTGCAAATCCAAAATTTTTACTAACATAATTGATTTATTAAATAGTAGTATCCAATTGATTTTCTCATAATAATAATAATAATAATAATCGAAACTTCAATATTATACGTTTAAATTTTATAAAATTAATATTATTCCATTTCATTGTTTTAGGCGTGGAAATTCTATATCTATATATTTCTTGGACAGATCTCAAACAGTTTGGATATTTCATGTTCAACAACAGAAGCGGGGTTGTCGAGTCAACCAATTAGATACAGCCACGTAAGCACAACGAGGGCAGTAAACCTAGTACGCCAGTACAACGTGGGGGGGGCCAAACACGTGGACACTGTTGCCACGCAATCGGGCTGAAACACTGGGAGCCGGGGATGACGTGGCAAAAGAAAGACGGTCCGTTCTGACGCGTCTCGAGGGTCGGAAGACGAAGATCGGAGGTAAGATGTAGGGGTGGGGATTGGTTAGAGAAGGAGATGAACAGTGAAACCGAATCTAGGAGGAGCGGATTGGTCAAAGATTCAATTAGGAGACGCTTGATTTGGATTGGACGGCTGAGAGTGACGGCGTCCTTTTGTACTTGTTTTAGAGCTCAATCCACGAGATTTGCTCTCTGTTTATATCATAATTCCATATCTGCAGGAAATTATTGTGCCGGTAACAATTTCTTTTCTTCTTCTTTTTTTTTTTTTTTTGGGTTGATTTATTAGAAAATCAAGTTTGGAATTTGTGTCCGTTGGATTTAATCATAAGAAGAGTAAACAGTTTTTTTTTTTTTTTTTTTTTTTTTTTCTGTTTTCTATTTTGACGTCTTCAAAATTATTAATTTTAACATCTAAAATAAAACAATTAAATTATTATAGCTTACAGTAATCACGTACATAATGTTATGATAATTTTTGTAGTTGAATTACAACCTCTTCTAAGCTTAATTTTTCATGCTGCAAGATTAATTTCAAATCCCAAATTACATCCCAAGTAAATTTTCAACGAGCTCGACCAAATCGCCCTATAAGAGCAAAAAAAAAAAATAATAATATCCCAATTTCTTTGAAAGCAATCCATGTTAAACTCTAAATAACAAAAATTTGATTAAATTTTAGCCAGAAGATGAAGGTAAAAATGTATAATAACTCCTGCAACACAACAGAAGGTGAAAAGGGGGTATATTAAGGAATCTGTCACCAAGTTTTGGACATGCAGTAGCTACAGTTCAAGAGTTTCAAGATGGAAAACTATATCTAACCTTGTGCGGGTCAGGTAAACCTACAAAACTAAGTAGGCTTCAAGATGGACAAAGGCACAATTGAGGTGCTGAATAAGTGAGATAAACACTAAATTTATGCATGATGCCTATTCTGGTTCTGATTTAGCTCAGAATTTTTTAATTACTAATGAAGAACAAATATTCATTGATTGCACAATGATTAAAAAGAGGAGAAATATAACCATTAAAATAGTACACAGGAATTGGGATACAATATTTCCTCTTATTATTATGTCATTGAATGAGAAGCACACATTTCAGAATTAAAATGAGACAGGTGAATCATATATGCGGCATCTACAATATGGAAGTTCGACTTACAAGGGATTGACGATGTAAAAGAAGAAAAATATAGGTGTTGGATTGCCTAAAAGATGAAGTTTTTGAATGCTATATTTCATACAAAATGCTTTGCTTTTGCATTTCTATGAACATTCTGGGGAGTTACTGCGTGCATGCATACATCTATGGACTAACAACACCATTCTTCAAAACTATATATTTAATATTTTATTCTCTTCATTAATGATTACACTAGAAGTTTACCCCTTGAAGTAGAAATCAGAAGCATTCTCAAAATTCCTCCACTTTAGAGCTCAAGCCAAAAAAGACAAGGACATCTTCGTAAATAGCCTTTACGAGTTTTATCTTTCTTGGTATTAGTAGATAACCTAGTATCCATATTTCTATTAAGAGGCATGAATAAGAGAAAATGTTCAATTGCAATGCTTCCATACTTTCCCTTGATCATATCTATTTACTTATCAATTATCAGGCAATATCGTAAAAAATTTAACTTATATTCTTTCTTCAGTAGTTATTTGACATTTAATAAATTTTGAACCAAATTAAGAACATAACAGACATTATGCAAAAGTTTAATGTTACCTCCTTCCCCAACAGTGCCTTCTCCAAGCAAACATTTTCTCTTGATGAAGTTCTCCAACCAAACTTTACTTCATACTTCAATTTTTCATCGAGCTTTGTGAACATCTCTATGTTCCTCATCATTGCTGTTGCTGCAAACATTGCCAACGAAAAAGAAACCAAACCTCGTTGATTATAAAAATAGTGATTGGATAGAGTCAAATTGATGATGGAAAAAGCACATTTAGATATATGGCATGAGTTTAAAAAAGAATTTCACGGTCATCTAAAAAGCAAAAGCTATAGAACTTTTATGAGCAGAAGTATAGAGTTTACTGCAGCAGCAAATGCATAACGTGAAGCAGTGTGGTTAAGAAGAATTTTGTTTGATCCACAACAAGATACTCTTCCTGTAATATATTGTCATTATACGTTTGCCATCACTATGACCAAAATCCTCTCTTTTATAGCAGAACAAAGCATACCAAGTTTTGCCACCATTATATCAGAAACCTTGTGCCGGAAAAACAAATCAAGTAAAGTTCATAAAACAATTTGCAATTGTACTTTAAATGATGGCACACTTAGCTTAAGTTAGCACACGTGAAAAACCCTTGGAAAGGCATAATGGTTAAAAACATTTGAATAAGATCAATTAGTGTTTGCAGTTAATGTGGCTTAAGGAGGTTTGACAATGGCGGCAACATTAAGACTATATATACCTATTTGTATTTTAATTCAAAATGACATGCTCCACTTGTTGCTCAAGTGGTCCTATGCAAATATGACAGATTTTAAGCATATAGAGGACAACGACCCCTACCAAGTAAGTCGCTAAAAAACCTATTTGTGTTTTCATTTTTGTAACGAGAAAGCTCAATAGAGCAACGTAACTCAACAATAACAACCCAAGGCAGAATTTTGTTTAGCAGCATATTTCATGTTACTTTGTCCTCTTGTAATTCTATTAGTTTAATTTTTCTCACACCTAGATCTATTGCAATCCTAAATTTTATCTAAGCAAATTGTTAGCAAGTGATATCAAACCAAATTTCAACAAGTGGTAAAGGAGCGAAAAGCCTAAATAAATTGTGTTGCATGATGGACATGCAACAAAGTTTCTGCATTTTAGCTGCTATTTAACTTAACTTCAGGAAAAGAAAAATTTATCTATCATACCTGCAGGAACCAGCATCAATTTGCCTCGAGAAACATTGGCAGATTACTTCCACTGAGGCCATCTGATTGAATCTGCTGAACCCTTCTTCACATTTGATGCTCCAGAGTTCTCGTCGGAATCATGCCAAATACTCTCCATCTAGAAGGAAGCAGAGAGGAATAAATATGATCATGTTTAGATTAAATGATGTAACATGTTCTATAAGTTTGTAGATGAATTATCTGGTTGTACACAATGAAAAGCATAGAATTGCAATGATCTCTCTGCCTAATAACCTTATAATGTAACCCTGGATGTAAAATAACAAACTTCATCTAGCTTTATTTCTGAAAGTGTCCAGAATCTACTATATGAATTGCCTGAACACATGCTCTTGAATGTGTCATGTGCAAGTAACCACAATGACATCCTAACCCCGTAGTGTTCACAAAACCTAACTTCAAACACATGCAGCTATCATGTGGTGCAGTTTATATTTTTAAGTACATCAATTAGGTTCAAGCTAGAGCTATCATAGGAAACACAAGATATTGCCAGCAGGATATTGTGATGCACCTCTCCAACAATCACTGTGTCACCTTCCTTGACCCCAAGTTTCTTTAGGGACTTATTCACACCACATGCTTCCAGAACATGTTGGAACCTCTTCTCCGAGTCAACGTATCTGTAACAAAACATAAGTTGAGTAACACATCATGAGTCATTAGCTTATAGAAAAGGAAGAAAAGGAAGCTTTTATTCTAAATGTGGAAGTATGGGAAAATTAGAACCTCGGACTCTCAGGTATGCTTTTATTGGATATTCTGCTAGACAAAAAGCTATAAATCCTATTTATTTGTTAGCATGAAATTCCCCCTTCGGAATTTGAATCACATTTCCATTTTTTACAGCCAGCTCTTTAGGGGGACTCGTGAAAATAAGGAAAATTTCCTCTCTCAATTACTGGATGCGGTTCTACTTACTGTTACCTCTGTCCCTACTGATAAGGATGACAGCCCAAAACAGTCTAGAGTGCAGTAGATTAGATAGGAACGATAAAAGAACTTACTACCACAGACACAAGACGGTTGAGCTGCCAGCCAACCCAGACATTGGCTTCAGATCATAAAGAAACACCGTGAATTCAATAGCTCCTAATTTTCTCTCTAGTACTGATGATCTTAATGCTCCCATTACTATTAAAAAAGGGACTCGTACTTCTACTAAATGCCTTGTACCTACTTATGCCTCATATAATTCACTATCACCTTCCTATGGAAGCTTTTGTACCATCGTTTTCTTTTGTTTCTATTCCACAAGTTTGGCAAGAAACTTTGAGGAATCCAAAGCAGAAGAAAGCTAATGGTTTAAGAGAGGAGTGCATTGATAAAGAACGAGTTATGGGCAATTTTCAATCTTCTATTGGAGAAAAAAACAATAGGCTACAGGTGAGTGTTTACTGGGAAACAAAAATCTGATAGGATTGTTGAAAGATTTAATTTCAAAGCTCTATTCATAGCTAGTTGAAAATGTATATATGTAATTATTTTGTACAAGAGTAGATTAGTAAAAACATAGCTATGTACTTAATTTTTAAGGTCTCCCTTTTTTACACATACTTGTTTATATATATAGGGTCAAATTATTCAATAATATCATAATATTCTATTCTACCACATAGTATCAGAGTTATAAGACAAATATTCTAATGTTTTTCTATAAACCCTAACCTGACCTTTATTGCCCGAATTAAAAAAGAACATCCCTAAAATCCATCACCAGCCTTTGTAGCAGGAAATCTCAACAACCTCCCTTCATAACTGAGTCTGCACCTGCTTCAGCCACTGCTCCAACTGCCTGCTCCATCAGCACCACCCTGCTCTAGCCGCCTGCTCTGCCACCAACGATCAGCTGTGCTAAGTCGTGCAAAGTTCCTGCCACTGCCCGGAAGCCTCTACTGCACTAACTAGATGCAGCTCTACTTAGCAGCAGAGTCCCTACCATCACCAAGCTGTGCGTTTCTTGTCTCCAGCCACACCTGCTCTACTGCACTGTCCTGCAGCGTTTTCTGTCTCAGACGAAAATACATTTTGGATCTCCTAGAAGAAACTAGTATATTGGATTGTAAGCCAACCGACTCTCCCACTAAAACCAATAAAAAACTGCAACATGATAAGCCAATTAAAGTTGAGAGGTGTCAGAGACTAGGTGGAACACTATTCTACTGACCACATACAAGGCCTGATATAGCTTATCTGTAATTATAAACTAGTACGTGAATGAACCCCAAGAACCATAAAAAAATGCAATTTATTGAATTCTCAGATATCTGAAAATCTTCCCTTGGAAAAAGCTTACTTTTTTCAAGCAAAATTACATCAAGGTAGAACGTTTTAGCGATGCACATCGGGCTGGATCTCCTGATGACAGGAGGTCAAACTGACTATTGCACATTTGTGGAGGCAACTTGGTTACTTGGAGGAATAAAAAAGAGTTAGTAGTAGCTAGGTCTACTGCAGAGGTTGAATACAGATAAATGGCACAGAAATGTTTTACTTCCTTCTGTATACCTTGCTTCATGACGTTGATCCTTGAGTACTTGCCTTTACTTTTGTAAATATATACAGTTACTTCTATGTATAGGTAACTAGTATATACGTGCGTAAAGAACCATTTGAATATGCTCAGAAATCTCTCTCCTCTCTCTTCAACAATATCTTTCCCTACATAGTCAAAACTCTGCATAGTTTGGTTCAATTTTTAGTTTTCCTACTCTTATTCACAGGTATCCAATAAATATCATGTATTATGATCATATTGTAATATCATGTATCAAAATAATGATGATCAACATTATCATATTATAATTTATTCCTCCAACTTGATATTAGGCAACAGATGCAACAGTTTAGTAAATTTCATGGTTTTGTTCACTGCCTCTACAGCTATTCCTAGTCATCTAGGTAGAAGAGTAACTAAAATTAAATTGTAAAGTGCTCTGTTATTATGTTGAAGGAATAGTAAATCATATTTATAGGAATTTCTATCACAAAGAATAAGAAACTAAGAAGAAAACCTAACTCTATAGGGACATTGACTATATAGAAATGCCTATGCGCAAAATATCCTATTATCCCATAATAGACTAAAATAGAAAAAAATTCTTGTTCACTATCACCCCCTCAAGTTGAAGGTTACATAACTTGAAACTTCATAAAAATAAAAGTGAACTAGATAAAAAACTTAAATCAAACAAAGAACCTGTAACTTGACGAATTTTACGAATTGCTTGCAGCAAGATTCAGAAAATTCCAAGAGAATCAATTTCAACTCAACAAAGTACTAACTTGTTTCTTGTGCCGACACCTGTTACTATCTAAGTGAACAGTTGTTGTAAACCTTCTATAAATAAGTAACTACTTGTCACCAACTTCAACAAACAAATTTTTAAAATTTTCTTTGAAGGAAACAAACCTATAGGACGTTTAATGAGCAGAATTCAACTTTAAAAGAATGTCCTATAACTTGAAAACAATAATTTGCAAAAAGATAAAAAATAGAAATATGAAATCCAAATTTAAAGGGATGTTCCCTATTATTTGTAAACAATCATTTCCAGGAAGATAAATAATGAAAATAATGTTGACATTTGATGCAATAGAGTACCCAGTAAGAATCAAAATACACAATCGTTAACCTACCGCCAGTTTGTCATCTGAACAAAACGTTGCAATCCAGATCCAACTACATGCCAAGTACTGGTAGCACTATCATGAAAAATCTCAAACTCATTGATGGAAGCGCTTCGCTGCTTATGCACCTTATCTGCTACATGGTTCAAATTAATTGGATCTTCCCATCCTAAAAATATGGAGCTTTTTCAGGCCTAGTTATTAAAATAAGAAGGATTTAATGAATCACTTATATGGGAGGTAGCTAGGAGAATTATGAGAAGTTTGACCTTCAAACTCTTTGCTGGCTTCTTTATTCTTTTGCAGAAGCCCATATGCTGCACAAATCACTTCATAAGTTCCCTCCCTTTTCACTGCACTCATGCAAAATGGTTCAATCCCATGAGCTTGTAGACGTTCCTTAAATAACGGCCAATTGTTGTATGCCTCTGGAATGTCCATTTTGTTATAAGCAACAATATAGGGCTTCTCAGCTAGTTCAGGACTGAATAATTCAAGCTCAAGACGAATAGCATCAAATTCCAATTCTGGTTGCGGTGCTGAGCCATCAACCACATGCACCTACATGTCCCAAAAAATAAACATTTTATTAATTGCAAACCCTACACCAGCACTCATTTAAGCTAAGAGGTAGAGAAATGAGAAAAGAATAGTCAAAAAAATAATTGGTCCAGGACCCAAAACGGGTTCATGGTGATCAAGGAAGGTGCTAACAAGAGTTTCATTTATTAATTTTTTTTTTTTTGAAATAAAAAGTATGGTATGTATCATTATTTATTAGCAACAAAGAGATGCCAACCCATGTACAAAACTATTTACAAGTCAAATAGAATATCACTAACATTCCCAAAATCCTCCATAGAATACAAAAGATGACCCATGATAAAAAAAACCCAAGGTGTGGAACTATTTATCTCTAACCCTATCGAAATTGGCTTCCACCCTTCAAAAACTCTCTTGTTTCTTTCTTTTCAAACCACCGAAATATAGCAAGGGGAATGAGAACCACATGTTCTTCCCACCACTAATACCCTTCCAATCCCAGATCTCATCCCTTATAGTACTGGGCATTACCCAACTGATCCCCAAGAGTCCATACATCAAATGGTTAACAGAACTTGGTCAACAATATAGCATTAGATAATCTACATATAAAGCTTAAAAATTTGACTTGAATAAGAAGAATGGGACGCCTAACTGAAGGAAAATTGACTGTAACCTAACCACTTGCAAACATGAAGTGAAGGCTGCAAACATGGCAAATTGTTTTTCTAATGGCATTTGAAGATGAAAACCTAGTGGTTTATAGTGGTTTTTGATGGCCTCATAGTCAGGAAAACAGCTTTGCCGTGGAGACCAAGCTTAGCTTGATAAGGTTTCCAATATTTTGCCATTTAACCATTATTATGGGAATCCATGGGGGACTCTTTGGAAATTCATGTTAGGGAGGAAGTCTTTCATAGTAAGAAGGGAGGATGACAACAAATGGGGCAAAGGGGGACAGTGCACATGAGAAGCGGCAATGTTTTACAATCAGAACTGGCATCAGGGAGGCAGGGTGGCTTTGTAACTGCCTCAAAACATCAGCAGCAGAGGGTTTACTTTACAACTAGTCTGCGGAGTGGGGAAAGGGTATATGCATGCTGCAATAAATAAGAATGAACGTGGGAGGTTCCTGGAAATAGCTGAGTTCAGGGGGTCAGTATTAGTCAACAGGGTCTGTTCTAGAGGGGCCTCGAGGAAGAGAGCAGATGAACATGGCCGCGTGCTGTCTTCTGTGACTTTTCTGGACCAGGGCAAAGAGAAGCCAAAAGAGGCAGAGGGAAGGAATCTGACAGGGATGTTGCTTCTTCCCAATAGTGTGGAGAGACCAGGAGCTGAAGTTGCCGAACAACTCAGGCAGAGGCCATGCACCAATCATGATGACAGAGACAGGAAGAAAGTAGATTGGACTTATGATTCAATTTTCAAATCAACTAAACTTATGCCACACAATCTGCTCTGGGGTTACAGTAGAGAATTCTGGATGGAGGATTTTTTGGAGTTATCGTACAAAATCGAGCAATTTTTGTTACTCATAATGGTCCATGAAATGGCTCCACATTCTTCCTACCTCACACCCGATTCCAAGTAGGAAATGGCTCCACATTTGAGATTTCGGGAAGATTGTTGGTTAGGCAACCCATCACTAGCCTCAATTCCCAAGGTTGCACATGATTTCTTCTAGTCCTCAAGCTCTCATATCCTATTTTACAACAACACAGGAGGGTAAAACATCTTGGAACCTCCATTTATCTCATAATCTTTATGTTAGAGAGACCTAAACATTTTGGTCCTGCTGAAAGCCTTCGCAAAGTTTACCATTTCCCTCCAGCCCGACCGAAGATTATGGACCTTAGACACCTCTAGCATTTTTACTCGCAAATCTTTATTTGATTATCTCATAAATAACCCCACCAACCCGGTTATGATTGTTGCTAAAGGATTCTGGAAAGTTCTTATTCCTATTAAGGTGAGGTTCTTTGCATAGATGATGACTCATCAAAAGCTTTACACAATTGATCTGCTCCAAATCCGTCATCCTAATCATGCTCTTTCTCCCAGTGTCTGTGTTTTGTGCTTCAAGGGGGGAAACACATGTACATTTGTTCCTATATTGCAAGGTGCCTTGAAGGCTGAGAACTGATGTGCTTAGGATGTTTGAATGTAGTTGGGTATTGCTTCCAACAATGAATAGTTTTTTGTGCATGTTTATCAAAGAGGATTGGATTCGGAAGGCTGCCAAACTCCTGTGGCAGGGGTGCTGTTCACAGGTCTCTGGTGCATCTGGTTGATGCACAATTCAAGAGTTTTTAATAACAGGATTTCTTCATGTTGACATAAATATTTGGTTTCCTAAATAATTGTGATATTTTTCTATATAGTTAATTTCCCTATTAATGTTGTAATTATTTAGAATCTCTACTATAAGGGTAATTTTTCCTATTTGTACTGGGAAAATTTGTATATATATATATATATATATATGGATCGTCTATAACACAACAAGGAGTAGAAAATAAAGAAAATATTTTTACCCAAATCTCTACACTTCATATTCCGAGCTGAGGGAGAGGGCGAGTTTTTTGGCGTCCATATGAGCTAAACCATGGTTTCTTCACAGATATTTGCATCATCAATCTCCAATGATACTGGGATATATCTATATACAGCTTGCAGCTTTTCTACTGTCTACTTTTTTCATCTTTTACTTTTGCTTTTCTGTTTGGGGGTTTTATTTTTTTGTTTCTATGGCGAGGATTTCTCTTTCTCCCTTGCTGTACTTTTCCTTCTCATCTTAATAATGTTGTCTTCTTTTACTTAAAAAAAACAATACAAAGCTAAAAATACTAGGTTTAAATATGTAATCATCCATTAAGAGACTAATAATTTTATATTTGCAACAGTAGTTATTTGGACATAGAGCAAATACCAGGGCAGAACACCTTTCAGTGTGTCGAAGAAACTCATGACCCAAACCAAAACCCCTGTGTGCTCCTTCAAGCAAACCTGGTAAATCTGCCACCACCATTGTAGAATCATAGTCAAATGAAACCACGCCAAGGTTGGGAAGTAAAGTTGTAAAAGGGTAATTTGCTATTGTTGGTTGAGCAGCACTTATCACACCCAAAAGTGTGCTTTTTCCTGCATTTGGAGCACCCACTATTCCAACATCGGCGACCAACTTTAGTTCCAATTCCAACCACCTGATATAAAATACCAATATTCCTAAAATGAATACAAACCCAAGAGGAACACATGACATAAACATGAAAATCCTTAATCTGTTCATGGAATATCTTAGCATATTTGCCTCCTCACTTTGGACTAACTTCATTTCTCTTTATTGTAAAGCAACTGTACTTTATTCTCAGTATTGATCTATGAGGATATCAGAGCACATGCCCATGATATTTAACCTTAAAATATTTTGTCCCTAGCATCCAGAAGAAAATCAGGTTCATGCCAACCTATGATTGAAGAATAATAAAAACTCATGGAAAAAGTATGAAAATGCAACCTTGAAAACGTTTCTTCCCAAACCAGACACACAAAATCAGTGGATATTCAAACAAAAAATATATAGGTAACCAAGAATCCAAAAAACAATGAAAGGCACCCAACAGTAATCAAACAGATTATAAAAAAATAACTCACATTTCTGGACCCTCTTCACCATTTTCAGCAATTCTAGGCACCTTATTTGTTCTGGACTTAAATGAAGCATTCCCCCTTCCCCCTCTCCCACCAGGCAACAACAATGCACGTTGTCCAGGATACAACAATTCCAACAACACCTCCTCCTTCCCTGCTTCCCTGATTACCGTGCCAGGTGCCACCTTCACCACCACATCCTCTCCTTTTGCCCCATTTTGCATCCTCCCCCGCCCATGAGCCCCTCTCCCGGCTCTAAAATGTACACTATTCCTAAAAGGCAGCAATGAATTCATCGACCCATCAACCTCAACATACACATTCCCACCTCTCCCCCCGTCTCCACCAGATGGTCCTCCTAAAGGCACATACTTTTCCCGCCTAAACGCCATTACACCGTTCCCTCCATCCCCAGATTTTACATATACCTTTGCCCTATCAAAGCACCGCATCAC